GACTGAATAATTGGCTGTGCCCATATAACTTTCCTATACACTTAAACAGAATTTTCGTTATTACTTGTCAGGCAAACTATCTAATAACACATATGGTAGTTTATGATCTAGATAAGCCGGTTTTAGTCTATCAGTGCCTATGGAGCCGATGATCCCTTGTTGTTCTGACGAAATCCTTTATTTTCTTGAAATAACTTTGAAAGGACCTTCAGATGGTGGACTAAGCGGTGCTTTTATTTTGTCACACCTTATCCAGACGTGTGTGCAATTGCTTAGATCCTTAGATACGTATGTCGCTCGCGATTGTTAAATAATATTGATTGGTTTGAGTTTGGATATGTGGTCCCGTAGTTGGTCTACGTAGCTTTTTAAATCAAGCTTTTACTGTTAGTATGAAAGTTAATAAACTCACACAGTAATCTTGGATTCGTTCCGAAAACTAGTTTTGCTGCTAAACATTATGAGCCATTTTTAACAGCCATTCGTATTCCCAAGATAACTAATGGCAGGAATTCTGTCCAACTATTGGGGTCTGAGTGCGATATAAGGGCAGCCTTTAGTTGACAGTACAAACGTTCTACCACCCGAGTAGCCTGGGGGTGATATGCAGTGCCATGTTTAGCTACGTTGTTAAGTAGTTCAGACTCATATTTTGCTCCTATATCCGCCATCCAATTCAGTATAATAACCTTGGCCACTGTTTTGGCTGTATGTCCGTTATTAGTATAGCTATAGAGAATCCCGGAAATCAATCTACACATGAAAACGGGTAATGAAAACCATTGAAACGCGGCACAGGGCCTACTGGGTCGATATTCATACGGGCAAAACACGTATCTGGTTGTAAGTACACGCTTTTGGGTGGATTTGTGTGACGATTGACTTTGAACTATTAACACATCAAACACTCTTCAACCCATTTGTATACATCCTTCTGTAAATTTGGCCATTGACTGGTTTAGTCGAAGATTTGCACCAGGATGAGTCAAGGAATGAAGATATGCACATACATTTGGAGACGAAAGGTAGCGGCGTTATCGTAATCGTGTTGCGGGAAATAAGAATACCGTCAGTAGACGATGGTCACTGCCTTAGTTTGAGACTAGAGTTATTTGTTATAAGTAGGTATCGTAATTATTGATCCTTTTTTTGTTTGTCTCTCGACATCTCAAAATTTACTGTAAATTGTTGCATCACGTTAATTTCTAGTCGAGATAATACGCCTGCCGCCCAGTTTTCCTGAACTTTGACATGTCGGATATCACTTGTAAACTGTGATATATAGTCAAGATGTCGGACTCCTCGAAGTCAGTATTTATCTGCTCTCGCTTTTAGTGCATTAGTCGGTGGTTTTTGATCCGTAAAATATACGAATTCCCTGCCTCCTAACATGTGTCGGAAATGCTTAATGTTTAGGTAGATTGAAAGGGGTTCTTCTGGAGCGAGACTTTTTGAAAAGAAAGGAATTGGTTTACACGCGTTTTTATTCAGTTAGTTAAGGGTACCACCTGCTATCTTGTCCGAAGCATCCACCATCATTTCAAGTGGGGAAAGGGGATTCGGAAACATTTTTCAGCTGTTTAATAGCCTCAACAACTTCGCAAGTCATCTTGGATTCTTTTGGTTTTCTTCTAAAGGAATCTTTTAAAGGTCGTATTAATTATGTATAACCGTGTATGAATCCTTGATAAACGCTAATTAAGCATATAAAACTTCTAAGTTGTGGTAGAGAACTAGGCACGGGGTGAAGTCTGATGGTGCCCACTTTTTCTTTGATCGGTGTAACCCATTTGTAACGACCGAACTACCAGTATTCGGGCCGAACGCAGGACTGACGAACCAAAACGTATTCGAATAGGTCAAACTACGATCTTCTTTATAACTCGCCAAACGTTTTTGAGACACTCGTATTAAATTATATCAAAAAAATTCTGTGCTCAATTTATACGGTTCTAATTTAAGAAGCAAAAAGAATTATATCAAAAATACAAAATACCTCAAACGGTACAGCCTGTGCTATACAGTCAGAAGTTTCTCTAACGCAATGTAGTGCGCTAAACAATAAAAGAAACAGTCAATACCAAAGGATTTGATACCTGAGAATCGACAAATATATTCTCAACAAACATGATCAAATATCTATCTGCAGGAATTCCAGAAATCCTCCCAAGAAACAATCTAAAGGTTAACAGTCACACTGAATCACGCCGTGACCTTGGGCTTAGTCAAACACGACCTCATTGTCAATAGTCCGGCGACATGAAATAAAAAATTAGGTACGAAAAAGATAAGTTTTTAACCAAAATCACATAACAAAGGCTCAAACGAGATCTGAACAAAGGTTAAAATATGTGACAGGGAGAAGAAACAAATAAATAAAAAAACTGTCCAACAAAAAAGGCTGTGGAGGGATTTTCATCGTTTTTTTCCGTTACACCCTTCGAGGCTTATTTTGTGCCCGAGAAATTCTCGAGTTCAAACAACGAAGGTACACTTCGATGTATGTTCATTCCATATTCATCCAGCCATTTTAACACTACGGTCAGTTGATGTTCGTGTGATTGTATATCGGGACTATCCATTAATAAATCGTCCGCAAACCCCTGTACAAATAGCATATGCCAAAGTAGGTCATGCAAGTATATTCGAAATGTTTTTGCCGCGTTTTTCAGGTCGATTAGCATGCGTACAAAGTCGAGCAACCCGAAAGGTGTACTAATATATGTCTTAGGGATATCCTTCTCAGCTACTGACATATCAAGATATACCCTGACCAAGTCAATTTTAGCAAACATGTTTATACCGTGTAAAACGTTTGTAAAATCTACGAAATGGGGTATTGGGTACTTGTCTGGTACATTTGACGGTTAATAGATCTGTAATCCATGCACAGTCGTCCATTTTTATTTGGGATCAAATGCAAAGTGGATGCCCATTGACTATCAAAGGAACCGATAAGTGGTAAGGGCAAAGGTCCTGTAGCATCAGGTTATCCGGTTTTAGCCAAGCTGAAAAACCTATGATTGTATCTTATGCGAAAAAAGAATAGTGTCATTAGTTACAAATACCTCGATTCATAAGTAATTTGACCTTTTTCAAGCGTGTTATTCTACAGCCAAATTTTTGCCGGCGTGGAGGTTATGTATCTTATAAAAAGAAATATTCAACGGTATATCTAGGATCAGTGAGAGCCGTTGTTTTAAACCTCAATTGCTGTGTGATTTACTCACGTTTGAGCATTTATTGTTGGCTCCCTTCCGAGTAAAAAAGGGGACGGATAATTTCTTGTTCTTTATGATTCTAATCGAATAGACTCTACACACTGTGTCTTAAATGCTGGAATTCCCTGTCGGTTGAGCTGGTCAAATCGACTGCCCAGGTGTTCTTAGAGAGGCAACTTGACCTATTCTTAAGGACTAAGGACAACATCCTATCATGATTAATCAATTTCTTTTTTTCCTCTATTAACGTTAATATACCTAGGTTCCTGCCTGGAGGCATTGGTGATTCATTGAGACTAGACACGGAAGCCCGTTAAGCGAAAGCTTCTTCTATTCCGTCCACAGCCGTCTGAACCATTTAAACATTCAAATTTTGACCAGATGTATTTTTCTCGATCAATACAACTCCTATTATCTCAGAGTACAACATAGTATATCGCACAGTTCTGTGGTATTTGTACGAACTAATGATTCATTTGTATTTAAACCTCCGATTATTACGAATTTCAAATACAACACATTCACTTGTGCTCATCTATTTCTACTTGGCTTAAATTGTACTATGTCGAGAATTCCTAGTTAGCGAAATAATTGAAATACTTCCGATTATCATAGGTATGCTATATTTCATTGTGAATTAAAATGCATATATTATACCGATGATTTTTCGAATAAAGTGCATCAGATATCTATTTTTTCAAGATAGAAGGAATCTGAAATAATGATTACACAGTTAATTTTCCCGACTGTGTCATGTGAATACACAAAATCAGTATGACTGTTTGTATAGTATACAGTCATGAGCCCTTATTATTATTAACTTTATTAGATATCATATTTTTGGTACAATATAGAATTCTCAGCACAAAGTGTTTTAACGACTTTCGCTTCTCACTTCTCGGTCTCTCTTGACGACAAATATAGAATGGTCGCCAGCTAGAAGTTTGCAGTCCAAGAATCGACATCGCTGCATACTGCTAACGACTACGATGTCTCTATTGAGCTTATAAACTTCCTAACAGGTTGCGCGATTAACACATACAAAGATGGGCTAAAACAAACAAAAACTGGCAACTTGTTGAAATATATAAATGGCAGAAACAGGTAGCTCAGATTTTCAAGCAAGCCACCCTGCATTTAAAATCTGAGATAATGATATTCCAATCACTAAATAGTTCTGAAAAGTTCCACAACATTTTTAATTTCAAAGAGTTTAGATGGTACATTTTCATCACACCACCTAGGGAACGATGTCTGAAGATTGTCAGTCTCAGTACTTACAATAGATTTGAGGATTTAGTTTCTTTTCATCCTGTATGACAAATTGGCATATTTGTCACAGTAAACAGAGACAAAGTATTGAAATTCTCGAGAAAATATTTGGTGCTTTACATACTACAAATACGTTTCTACAGGCTTTCCCATCACGGAAGTGCTCGTCTACTCAGAGATGATATCAGAAAATCTATTTTTGGACCACATTTAAACGCAACAGGTAACTTTTCCCTGATATAGAGCTCCCTATACTCAAAGAGATTTAATATTCCAACGGACAGATTTCAGTGGTAAAAGTGTAATAAACGTGATTTACGATATAGAAAACGTCAATAGTTTAACGCTTATACGAATTCACTGTGGTTAACTACAATTTGTACCTTGCGAAAACAGAGAAAGACTCAATTCATGAAAGAAGCAGATATAGAGAAGCAAACAGCCAACTATCTTTGACTGCAAAGTTTAAAAGTGTCTTGTTTCAACTATTAGCTGGTTAGGTTTAGGCTTGAGGTCAAATAAAGCGGAATGATTGTTATAAAGCGGTATCGTGTGGTGTTCGCATGTGTTCAGTGCCTTCTCTATGTAAGGAAAGTTTATTTGTGCATAAATTTTTGATCCAGTAACTTATTGGTAAATTTTTGAAAACTATCATCAAACGTACGAGCTTTTGTAATTTCAAAAGACGAATGCTGGATAATGTTGTGTAAAGACATTTTCAGTTTGATTTCAGTTCAGTTTCAGTTTGGAAAGGAAATGACAGGAGGCTTAATGGCCTGTGTCGGTACTGGTAATGGTAGTCCATCGTTTGGTCCAACTTTTTTTGAAAGAGTCAACAGATGGGGCCTTAACCACATGCTGAGGTAATTAGTTTCACTCGTTGATGATTCGATGGGAAAGTCGATAGTCAGCTGACAACTCATTTGTTCTGTGCTTGTGAACTTTTTTGGAGTGCCCTCGTAAATCCTCTGTTTAGGAAGACAGGAAAAATGAGGGCGTATCAGGTGCAAATTTATCAATAAGCAATTTGAAAACTAATCAAGTCGCCTCAATTTCTTCGTTCTGACAACGGCAATAGGTTTAGCTTAGCCAGTCGAGCATCACACAGGAGCTTCACTGTTTCAAGAGCCAGCTTAGTTGCTGTTCACTGAACCTTTTTCAAAACCTCACTGTATTTTTAAGCAAAGGTTAACCGCATGTAAGTTGCACTCAAGTTTAGGACGCACGAACACTGTATACGAAGTCAAAAGAGTTTTAGCGTCGAAATGATTAAGAGCCCTATGTATTGAACATAAAGTTCTAAAACCTTTGACGGCCATTGCACGATTGTATGCTGTAGATTTTAAGTCTTGACTAACGATGACTCCCAAGTCATTTTGTTTCTGGACAACAGGTAGCTCAGTGTTATTCATCGTGTATGTATCTGTACCTTGATAAACGATATGCACTACAACACACTCGTAAGTATTTACCAACGACTGCCATGAATGAGACCACTCAGATAATTTTTCCAGATTATTTTGGAGTTCTAAGCTATCACCTTTACTTCGTATCGCACTCCATATCTTGGCATCGTCAGCATATTTCAAGACCGATGATAATAGTAGGCGAGGAAGGTCATTTGCATGCAAGAGGAGTAACACTGGTCCCAAAGCTGTACCCTGGGGTACTTCACTAAGCACAGTCTTCAAGCTACAGAACTTTGAGTTGACCCATACTCTTTGTTGGTGCTCAACTAGGAAGTCTTATATCCATATCAATAGATTGCCTCCAACCCCTACATTTCTTAGCTTATATAACAGATGGTTGTGCGGAACTTTGTCAAAAGCTTTGCTGAAGTCAATGTAGGCTACGTCTACAGATAAGTTCTGGTCCTTGAGAGCGCACCAGCTTTCACGAGCCACTAATAATAAGTTAGTGAAACAGGAATAACTTATTCTAAAACCATGCTGCTTCTCCGAAAGGATCCGGTTTTCATCGAGGTACCTAAATAGCTCCTTCCGAATAATCTTTTCTAAGATTTTAACAACCACACTAGTTAGGCTAATGGGTCGGTAATTCTCAGGTTTATGTTTCGTACCTGTTTTGAAGACAGGACTCACTATGGCGTTCTTCCAGTCTTTCGGTAAAGGACCCTAGGTTACGGATGGATTGAATCATATACTTAAAGGGTTCGCAACGAAGTTAGCTAATTCTTTTAGTAACCTAGTTCATCGGACCCCGTGGATTTGCCTATGTCTATCTTATTTAGCAGACCAAAGACATCGAGTTCTTTAGTGATCACACTGTCCCCAAAGTCATAAGAAACAGGGTTGTTTTACCCATAGTTTGGAAAAAACCCGAATTATCATATGATTCTGAGGAAATATTGGAGAAATCCTAAAATTTACCTAAGCATTTTGGGGATTTCCCCAGATTTGGGAAATTTTCGGGGTTTTGTGTAATTGACCCATAATTTACACAAACTTTCGTATTGCGGCTCCCCCAAAATTTACGCTAAACGGACGAAATTTCCCCCAAAATAGGGAGATCGGGTCTTACGTTTACAATTTTTCTTATCCCTTGTTTATACGCAAATAATAGTAAAGTGCTTTTTAGTTTCATGAGTATGTCGGCAATAATATAATAAAAGCTAGGTAAAAGTAATGAATCAGTTGGTAAGGTTATAAATCTTCGTCAACCTAGGTGGTTGGTACATATTTTACTCACACTCAACCAACTCTGGCTTCAACGAATGCGTTGGGTGATTCTAGCAGTTGTGCATTCCTTTTTCTTGTGGTTCTCCATTACTTTTGCTGTCATCGCTCTCACTTCTTGATTTTCCTTGTTTTCATTTTGTTATGCTGACCCAGTTTATAGTAACTTGGATTGATGCACATTTATACAGGATAATTTTTTTTATCTGTTTACCTAAATTGTATGCCAGATTGGCTTTTAAATCTTAAGCACCAACACTTCAAAAGATACTCTCCCAGTTTCCATTTACTTTTTGTCCTACCATATCATAGCTTGTTTCTCGTAGTTTTGATGGCTTCAATTGGAAATATTAGTTAGTGGACCCTATATCTGAGGGTAGTTTGGTTCCTTGTCGATGTTTATACAGTTATTATTATTTTTTGTTTCAGAGTTTAATTTGCATAACTGCATATGTCGGAACAGTCCGTAAGACATCGGTTTCTCGCTCTACCTAGTGAGCAAAAGCTGAAGTTAGATAGAGTCACTTCTCCCCGTTGTCAACTAACCCCTGTCCCCAATTTATCTACAAGTGCAATCTTGGATATTAACGATACTTCAATAACGGTTACAGGTGATGATTTCGAGGATACATGTATTCTTGGTGAGTTAATTATGTTCCCATCACTATATATAGCTCCTTAAATCAATTTGCATCCCTTTATGTTTTAATGTGATGTGCAATCCATTCGACTTGAGCTTGGCCAGTATTCTCACTGCATATACTGATCCAAAAGATTTAAAAGGGATAATGAAGTTAAGTGGTTAAAAACTAGAAGTAAAATTGATAATTTATGTCAGTAAAGTTCTGTTAGAAGATAAAGCGCACTAGAGAATCGAAGGAAACCACCTTGAAGAGTCTCAGGTTCCTGTTGGTTAGCGTTTATAATGTATATTACAAGTTTTTTCTAGTCATTCTAAAATTAACTATTCCATTTTTTAATGTTCTAGTTCTTTTTGATATTTTCTAGCCTTTGTTATAGTGTGCAGTTTTAGTACATGATTTACTCTTTTACATACATACGCTTGTACTATTCATCCTAAATTTGTCAAAGTTGTTTACTAAAGAGTTTAACTTCGGTAAGTAAAACTAAATTACGGAAAAAAAACTTGTAAAATATCCGCACTATTTAGTCTCATTTTCGCTCACAATTAGACTAGAATTGTAGTCGGAAGCATTTGATTAGGAATACAGTGGTCTTGAGTGCTGTTGGAGATATGAGGGCGGTTATCACTTCCCGGTTGCTCACACCATGGAAGGGTTCCTCTAGAGGTACCTGAAGAGGAAATTGGGTTAGCGGTGGTCTTAATGACCTGGGAGCAACTGCCTAAGGCCGGTCACACACGACTTTTTCGTGAGTTTTTTGCAAGCTCTGTACTTGTCGAGACCTTATCGTCTGAGACGAAAGTCCGTGGTATATGGTGAGGTGTGCATTTGTATGGTCGACCTTTCATAACCCTACCCTTCATTAATGGGAAGATAGCATCGCTGTTATGCTAGTTGTCTGAAGGAAACATCGTACTGCCGTCACACCTCTGTACAGTCAGCAGTACGACTTCGCCCTCAGACCTTGAGTTGCTGCTTTTAGTCTTACCGTTCTCCAATCGACCTGCCTGGCATGATAGGACCTTGAGGAACGAATGTTCCAGCCAGTATAGCTCGATTAATTCACCACAACAGACAAGCCCAACCACTACATCAAGGTAGTAGCAACGGTCGAGAACACTAGACAGCTTTTGAGACTAATAAAAAAACCGGAATTAAGAAGTCAAATGTGAGTGAGACAATCTCAGAAAAAGATGGCACTCTTATGTGCTGTGAGTCTAGACATTTAGAACACTTCAAGGAGCAATTCAACTTGTCTTTAGCTGCTCTACAACTACCCACTGTTCACAAACTGTGTGAATGGAACATTAAAATAGACCCCTCTACTCTAATTGGAGTTCGAAAAGCAATAGCTTATCTGAAACAAGGAAGAGCAGCTGGTCCAGATAGATCAACTTCAGTTTCATTTATTTATTTTTCTGTACACAAACTTTGGATAAGCAGGCACGAAACAGATATGCGCCACAGAAATCATTCGATTTGTGTGAGGGCTAGGATACTGCCCGGGTGCCCAGACCAGAACAGATGGTTCTCTTAGAAGTCCACACTTCGAGCCTTTGACCCGAAGGCCTGATCCACAAGGCGGTGGAGCAACATCAGGAGATGCAGTCCCATGGTAGGTGGTGATCAATGATAAGTTCATACACCATTTGTCTCCTTCATGATCCTGGAGCCCGTGTGCACCATTGGTTTAGAATCAGGGTTTTACAACTCCCTTGAGTAAGTCCTCCAACCCGGTCAAAGCACTAGACATTCGCTTTTCGTCCTCTTAATTTCGTAAACAACACCTTCGTGACGAGAAGGCAGCGAGTAGGACTTCCTTTCAGACCTGATCGTGGCTGCATTGACCACATATTCACTATTCGTCAGATTTTAGAATACAAGCATGCTTATCGGCGTCCGATAATGGTGATCTTTCTTAGCTTAGAAGCAGCATTCGACTTCGTAGACCGAGGGGTTCTGTGGCAGTGTCTGTCATTAAAAAAGTGAAGTAATTGAACACGTCGACGACTTCACTTATCTTGAAAGTCTGATCAGCCCTATTGGGTTGGTGTTTGACGAAATCTCTGCACGGATTCAAGAAGCTCGTTTGGCTTTTGACCTATGGTGAAGGCGAGATATCCGTCTATCAATTAAGGGACGTGTATACTGCGTGGCAGTTCTTTATGTTCTACTTTACGGCTGCAAAACGTGTCCATTAAGAGTAAAAGATACGCGTGAGCTACTAGTATTTGATCACAGATGTTTTAGAAATATTGCCAGCATCTGCTGGGACCACCATGTAAGCAATAGTGAGGTTCTATGCAGGGTAAAGGAATGATGGTAAATCAGTTGATGAGGTTGCAAATCTTCGTCGACTGAGATGGTTGGGTCACGTGTTACACGTGCCTAGACACCGATCACAACGATGCGCAATGCTAACTAGTGTTGGGGACGGTTGGAAAAAAGTTAGGGCCAACCAAACCAAAAAGTAACATCAGTTCTTGGGGTCATTAACTTCTGGTCTGAGCCATATTGGTAGATGCTGACTACTTGGTTGGAGTCCGGGCAGCTATCGTATCCAGTGGTTGGAGACTGGATGACATGACCCAGAATCAATCACAATAGCGTAGGCGTCTACACTCCTTATCTTGCCTTAAACCATGAGATTAAATTTGCTTTATACCATTTTTCCTACGAACTAATTCTTTCTTCCTATATTATATCTTTTTAGGCAATCTTTCTTTTATATATTACTACCATTGAAGTGACTACTTCTATGAATTTGCTGTTGATCTTGTTGTGCTAGTGAGGTGTGGCAACTTGAACTGATGCATTTTGAGATAGATGAGACCAGGTGTTTTTCATAATAGTGAATATTCCCCTTTTTGTGAGTAAAAGGGAAACATATTATTTTCAATGCAATGAGTCACAGATTAGACCTAGTGGTTAGAGAATAATTCCATTGGCGAGTGTTTGTTTAATGTTTCCATATTCTCAAATCTTTTATTTGCTAAGTGAATTGCAATCATATTCATTGCTGCGTTCAACATTTTCCATGGAATCATACTGTAAATTTAGAAAGAAACCCCATTCTTCTGGCTGGCAGTTGCCTTCGCTTTGACGTCAAACCATTCGGGGACTTCACTTAACGATTCCTCCTCGTGAGCAATCATCACTCGTCCACATCATTGCTTTTTATTTATTTATTTACTCATTCATTTTAATAATCACAAACCTCATCCATTAATAAAAGCTGAGATCATTTTTGGATTGAAGCTGTGAAAATTCTTCAATCATCACAAATCCCTCTATACTAAAAATCATCATATGATCACAAGTGACTACATTCAAAATGCAACTTCTGGAGTTCTGGTGAAGAACTGTGACAACTTGAGTTCAACCATATAGTGTTAAGAAGTTGTTAACTGTAAGTAATAAGGGTTATGCATCATCTTGAATTGATCGAAGTTGAACATGTACACCTCTAGGTGTAGGCTGATTGTTCTAGAGGTTAGGCGTCCGCGCGTGAAAACTAAGAATCTTGGTCTCAATTCCCGGTTGCGGGCTCGTGCATGGCTTTTGCTGAAGAGTCCCATACTATCACAAAACGCCCATTCAGTGCTTTCAATGGCAGTCTAACTATTGTCACCTCTCAGTTTAAACCATTAAAACGCCTAATTTCTAACAAACTAGAAATGAATTTCTTCAAGTTACGTGTAGGAATGCCTACACGATGTGTTTTAACAGATTACTAACCTTGATCTAATATATACTACCTTGTGATCAATCTTCAGGGTCTTCTCACAAATGACAGACTTAGTTATCACCTGTTGATTGGTAAAACTGAGAAATATTAACGTTCTGTTTTTGTTGTTGTTTATTATTATTATTTTATTTATTTGAACACATAAATATTGGTACAAGGAAGCACCAAACAGATACTCGCCACACAAGTCAATTGCTTTGTGTGTGGGCTGTGATACTGCCCGGGTGCCCAAACCGGAAGAGATGGTTTTCGTAGGTGACTCTCCGAACTTTTGACCTGAAGGTCTAATCCACAAAGCAGTAGAGCAACGTCTCCTTCAGGATGCTGGAGCCCATGTGCACCATTGGTTTGGAATCAGGGTTTTACAACTCCCTTTTGTGCGTCCTCCGTATCCAATATCCCGGTTAAAGCACTGGACATTCGCTTTTCGTCCTCTTAATTTCGTAAACAACACCCCCAATACGAAAAGGCGTTGAGTAAGACTTCCTTGTCAGTGGTTGTATACACGTGGCCATATGTGAGACTTTAGAGGTGGCGTACCAGTTGTCTCAACAACTCATAAGTTGAAAATCTATTATTTATTTTCTAATTGTTTCGTACATATATTTTTCAATTTATTGTTTTATCAGGTGAAGGATTTTTTGGACAAGTTTTCAAAATGCGTTTGAAATCAACAAAAGAATCATTTGCAGTTAAAAAAATACCATTTTGCAATTTGGATCCACGTAATCCAGATATGATAGCAGATTTGGAAATAGGAAAATTGCATCCACATCCATTTTTATTACGATCTTATTGTGCTTTCACTCATGTAGATTCTGTTTGGATTTTATTAGAACTTATGGATATCTCGTTAGATGTACTTCTAAATAAAGTAAGTCTTCAATTTAAATGTAATGTTGTGCAGTCAGTTATTCTAAGTAGTATATAAAAGATTAGTGTGTAGAGACAGGTGAATGTTTCATAAACAACGTTACCTTTTATATTAACAAGCGTCTAATCCTATTGGCAGTTCGTGTGAAGCAACTAGGTAGAACATTTTTTAATGATATGAATACTATTTATCGTCAGTGAACTAAACTGTTTGTTTTAAAGTGTTAGCTAATTTGTCGAAAGGATATTTAATAAACATTCAACTAAAAATTTACTACTATTCATTGTGTTACTTACAGAACACGGTAAACTGTAATCCTCTACATCTAGTTCATTCTACATGTGTTTTACTGCAATTGTTTTAAAGATTGTAAAATGTCGCTGGCTATAAGAAGTTATAATTATTCAGATGTGTCAAAAATGTTCTAAAAAATATCTTGCGTGATGATTTTTTTTCAGTCATCATAAGAGCTTCTACAGTTGGAGATACTAACCTTTTTAGCAAAATATACAAATAGAACTGGTCTTAATTTTCTAAAGAAACTTGTATGGTACGTAAAAGTTGTATTTGAAATAACCTCAGGGATTTAAATTGAAATAATTCCAAAGTTTCTCTCGGATATCTGATCTGAACATTTTTCACTAAATTTCACCGAACATTTTTTCAATAACAATGGTATATAAATACATTTACAACGTTATACGTTTTGAATTTTCAACATATCCTACATCAAATAACTCATTCGTACTGTACACCAACATGATAAAACAACGGTTTAGTATAGATTTCCTCTCACACTATTTACGTTTGATAATTTTGGTTATTACCATAAAGAATCTCGGATCAGTTTACCCGGTGAAACGTTGGGATTACATTAATTTTCTGTCATTGATATAATTTTGTCTAGATACTTAATCCTTAATTTCTGGTAAGCTGGTCGTCTGAATTTAGATGAATGTTCATATAAGCTTGAATCTTAATAATTAAGTTGTTCTTATGCCAAATTGTTGGAGGCATTCGATAGGAAATCTTACTCTTTACTCTCAATATATATATATATATATATATATATATATATATATATATATATATATATATATATAATACGAAATCTCATGAAATTTTAAATTATTAAGTGTTATCAACTAGACAAATTTTATGCATAGTTCAATAAATGTAAAATGAAAGCTAATTCGTCAAATATTCTGGTTATATAAATTTTCCTAAGTTTACATAGTGATAAATCCTTTTTCAAACGAATCAATAAAAGTATTTACTATACCAATAAATTCATAATGTTATATGATCACTGTTATTCTGTGTATTCTCATTTTGTTTTTAAATTATTTTACAGGTAAAGGCACTTAATGAACACATTCCTGAAAATGTTTTGAAGCATATTACATTTTCAATCGTTTCAGCATTATATTATTTACGATTCGATATGAATATGATTCATCGTGATATAAAACCGGCTAACATGTTAGCTAACAAAAGTGGACAAATAAAAGTAAGATGATAATTGATCAATTGATTTATGTACATGCGACCATTTTGTAATTCCTTTTTTTTCTACTTCGTGTTACATAGACTTAGATTATGTGTTTGTATACCATAACTAAACAAGATGAGATTGTAATGCTAATGAAACAATATTCTGTAGTAATTATAAGTGATGGTAAGATAAACTCAAATTGTTTAAAGTATCTCATATACTCATTATTAGATATTTCGAAGCTGATTATATATTGTTCTCTTGATGGGATGTATTGTAAATCAACGATTTCCCATCTAGCACAGATTAAGAATGATGATCTTTGCCAGTATTTCTTTGTTTTAATCTTATTCAGTTAATATTGTGATAAAAGATAATAAGTAGGCCACATATTATGTATTTCGGTCACCTCAGTTTATAGAAAAAGAACAACTTGGTGGTAACTGGCCTACATGGAGTAAGACCATCCTCATACTCAACAAAAGAGATTTTGTAGAAGATTGTATATCACTTAAAAAATAAGGGAAGAACATCTCTTTGTTATATACTTGCTTCGGTTAACAATAAAGTGGAATGCTTTCCTCCATCTACAGTATACTATCCTATTCCAGAGAATTAAGAGCATAGCCAATTTGTTATCTAGCTATTAGTGTTATCATTATTAAACATTCTTAATTACAGTGGTTTTGGAACAGAATCGAAGGCTGAGGCTTATCTAGACGTGCTGATCAAACATGCTTATCACCCTTCTCAAGACAGAGCACTATATAATAATTTGGAACAACTGTATCATCCAAGGCATCTACTTCACATTTGTAAGCAAACTGATTTACATTAATAGGCTCCTTTAATACAGGCTGAAGTATGAGTGGCAATAGTTTCTTCACTTGTAGCCTTAACAATACTGACTTAATTTTATTCGATAACACATTTATATTTAGTGCGTTACATTTGTTAATATCTCGCTACGATTTAAAAAATTTCATTACTATATTAAGACTGGAGTAAAATAGTAGTTTAAATAGTTGTCTTTGGAATTTTTTTCACTACTGCTATTTTAATATTATAAATTATATCTAATCTTAAAATCATACACGGTAAAATGTCAGAATATTTTCTTTTTACTTATTCAGTAATATAACGTTTGACTAAATTTCGTGAATATTGTCCTGCAACCATGGTACTAGACTTGAAATCTTTGTTATCACGGTATTACAGTGCTGTGGTTAATTGCTGACTGTATATATAAAGCACATTGCGAGTATGCTAAGATACGACTTCTATATAATCAGTTTACTACTGATTTTTTCCTATTGATCATAACTTGTGTTAGGTTTGAAGCTTAACGAGTTTAATTAATTTGCGAACGAGAAGGAGATTCGGTGACCATGGAGCGATAAGCTAGCTAATGACGCTGAAAAAATTGTTATATATTGAGGGGCCTCCGAGTATATGGGCAGTGAATTATCGTTCGGATCAAGGACACGTAAAACACGTGCGAGCGGCCTAGAGTTCTGATTGGCCCTGCTTTCCGCCCAGCCCAGCCAGTTAAGTCCAGAACGCCAGTCTCAGCTTCTGCAATATGAATCGTTATATTTCAAACATTTTGAGTTTATATACCAATCACACAGACCACAACGTAGCATAAAATAGAAAATAACTTTTGTACAAAATTTGGTCAAATGTGGCTGTGAATGTGGGAGGCAGTAACTAATAAACAGGGCATAATTCAAGAATGGTAAAACGTACAATAATGGTTCATAGGTCAAAATAAAGCTTATAATAAGAGGAACATGAATATAAATAGTTAAGTTATTTTACAATTATACGATAAAAATATACGTGTAGTATTGGTCCGCAAATGGATCCCAAAATTACCATTCATTATTCTTGTCGGGACATAGCAACTTTTTAAGTTCTATGTAACTTCTATAACATTCATTTCCACTCTATTGTTGCGAAAATTCTTCAAAGTAGTTTCATAGTTTACTAACGTATCTTTTATATCCTAATTTGTTTATTTTTATTTTATAGTTAGGTGACTTTGGTACTGCCGTCACTCTTTCCAACTGTGAAATTCTAACGGATGTTGGATCATGGCGTTACCTTGCTCCAGAGCGTGTAAGCTGTGGTTCTATAAAAAGTTATGGGGTTAAATCTGATATTTGGTCTTTAGGCCTAAGCATTTATGAATTGGCTACTGGTACAAACCCATATGAACCGCCTAAAGATCCTGTAGATGCATTCAATCAGGTAATTCATATATATGTATAATATTTGTCCTAACAACAACATTCTCGATTCATCTTCAAAATATAAATAAATAATATATTTGCAATATCCCAATGAGTAGAAAAATTAGATTTTCTGACGTTTCGTGACTTAGTGTAAGTCACTTCTTCAGAAAATAAATAAATAACCAAATTAAAACTAATCCAAGTTTATTTAAAACAATCTACCCCATGCTCAATTTATTCGAAATTATAAAATCAAGCCTTGTTAATGATACCTACATCTTCAAAATACTTTTAAATATTCGCATTGTTATTTTTTTCGTATCCACGATGGGAAAAACAAAATCCTAATTATCCTATTAATTGAAGTTGCACAAATCATAACTTGTTTATAAGAAAGCATACAATGAATCACTTACGATCATAGTAATATATACAACTAGTCTTTACTTTCAAAGAAGAGGAAAACGTGCCTTGTATTGTACTAGAAGTTTATATTTATTTCAATGGCATTATACAGAAAGATACTGTTTACTGAATGTGTTATAAGTGGTTCATTTCAGCATATTTTTGTTTTGCCTACTTTTTTATTGTATCACTGCAATTAATTATAAATCACGAGGTATATATATATAAGCGTGAATTGACTTCTTAATTTTCTTGAAAATCTTTACTTCAGGTTAGTAAATCAACAACACCGCATAATCATGTGTTGTTACCATTGATGTGTTGTCTAAATCTCATGATTGATTTACTAGTAATTTTTACGTTCTCAATAGTCAAACAAACGTAACTATATTTATTATACTTGCTGATGTGTTTTTGTTTTTGTTAATGATTTTGTGAAGATAGTTTAAAATGGACAGATTCAATATCACTAGTTTACTCAGCATAATCGTAACATCATATTAAATTTAATATTTCAAAAAACAAACAAACAAGAAATTATTTTGAGTTCAGTAACTGTAAAGGGATGATTAATCATTTGAGAATTGACAAATCATATACAATAGACCATAATTATTATATTCAAGTGTACAATGTAAATTGCTAAGTTTAGTACAATAATGCACTAACTAGTTCATTTATCTAAATATGTTGTTATATAAAATATTTTAGTAGATATATATTATCAATTATCTAAATGTATTTTAAACACTTTGAAAGTTTTCTTGAGTATTAATTTTCTGTAAAAATATATCATTGACATTCAATATATGAGCATATTGTTTTAATGGAATGTATATGAGTATTTCTACGAAATATTTCTGTCAATATTATGCTAATCACTAATAATAAAAAGTTGAATATTTTTCTTCTAAAACTTGTTTTTAAATGTAGTACTGTGTTGTTACAATGTACTTGTTAAACTTGTATAATTATGCAATTTTATGTAAAGAATTCAGAAATCCGATTATTATCCATATGAATTATCTTCAATGTATTAGGCAATTTATGTTTCTTGACTACTTTGAAAATATGAGTAATATTTCGCGAAATAGATTAACATGAATGATTTTTAATATATACTCCAGTATCCTGCGGGAACAAATGGCGTATGAACCAACTTTTGGTCACCGGCTTCCATGGGACTGCATCTCCTCACGATGCTCCACTGCCTTGTGGACTAGACCTTTAGGTCAAAGGCTCGGGGTGTGGCCCCCTAAGAAAACCACCTGCTTCGGTCTGGGCACCCGGGCAGTATCTCAGCCCACACACTAAAACTATGATGAACTATCTGCTTATAGAAAATATTCGTTTCTCTCCGACTAACATTGAAATGACTGGTATTATTATTATTATTATTATTATTATTATTATTATTATTTACTACGTCGTTTATTCACTATCTCCTATTTCTACTTTTTGTATCCGTTTCGACTCAGACAGCAACTCGCCTATGGTGAAAATTCAGCTTTATCTAAACCTTCTCGAGTCACTGCCTGGTTGAAAATTGTATGTTACTACCGAATATGAGTACTGAAGCAGTTTTTCTGAAACCACGTGCACCATTAAAACTGTCTGCCTTCAACGTTCGCACACTTATGCAGGTCGGACAACAGATAGGTCTTCCTACGTCTTTTGAAAGTCTTGATATTGACGTTTGTTGTCTATCCGAGACCCGTATTCAAGACTCTGTTGAAGTACTACAAGTTCGCTCTCCATCTGTCACTTCAAAAAGCTTGTTTAATGTGCGTTTATCCGGGGACGCTGTGGCATCTTCGTCTGGTCTTGCTCGCGTTGGTGTCGCACTAAGCGCAAGAGCTGAGGCAGCACTAGTCGACTGGATCCCCATTAACAGTCGGTTATGTGCTGTTAGATTAGAAAGTTCCATCAAAGTGAGAAGAAATCGGCGTGAGAAACGATGTCTTTTCGTCATCTCCGCCTATGCCCCGACAGATTGCAGCCCGGATGCAATCAAGGACGAGTTCTACCATCAGCTAACTGTTCTTCTCCAGAAAGTGCGTTCGACAGATATTGTAGTACTAGCTGGAGACTTGAATGCTCAGGTCGGGCGTCTAGGCACAGAAGAGAGTCGTTTAGGTGGCCGATGGGGACTCGTTGGTCGCAGGACAGATAACGGGGAACGTCTACTGCAACTATGCACAGACCACAACTTGTTTCTGGCTAGCACTAACTTTCGGCACAGTCATCGCCGATGTGCCACCTGGCATCTTCCTTCTGCATCTCAAGCCTGGACTCAGATTGATCACATCGCGATCAGCTACCGCTGGCGTGGTTGTGTACAAGACTGCCGCTCCTTTTGGAGTACCTATCTGGAATCTGATCATGCCCTGGTCTGCGCCAATCTTACCTTACTTTTCAGTGGACAACGAAGTGACGGCCACCAAAGAATTGATGTTAGCGAGCTGGCTGCAACTTCCGTTGCTAGTAAGTACCGAACCGAGCTAGCTTCTAGGCTAGCTACCATTCCACCGAAAACTATAGATGAGCATTGGTTGCAATTGCATGACGCCATGAAAATGGCGGGTACAGTCTGTTGTGGGTTCGCGAAACGTCCCGCTTACAAGCACTGGGTTTCTTCTGGTTCCTTACAACTGATTGAAGTCCGTCGGTCTACTCCGGGTGACCGTGAGTTTGACCACAGACGAAGGATGTTACGTAATGAAATCGGGCAAAGCTTGCGTAAGGACCGAGAAGCCTGGTGGTCGGAGCGTGCTAATGAGCTGGAAGCAGCAGCTGCATCCGGTAATTACCGGAAGCTCTTCCAACTCATCCGAGCCACTGGCAGCAAGAAGGTTGGTGTGAGCGAAACAATCTGCGAGGATGACGGAACGCCAATCACTAACATCCATCGACGTCTTGGACGATGGGCAGAATTCTTTGAAGGGCAGTTCAACTGGCCTGCTGCTGCGGCAACATCGGTCAGACTGTCCTGCCCTCCATGGCCGGTGACGACTGATCCACCAAATGAGGCGGAAGTCCGCAAGGAACTCCAACTCTTAAAACGTTACAAATCACCGTCCCAGACGACTTACCTCCGGCTCTTTTTAAAGATGGTGGTGACTTTTTGACTAAGGGACTGACGACGTTGTTTACAAAGATCTGGGAACTAGAGAGTGTACCAACGTCATGGAATGAGTCGATAGTTGTCCCTATCTTTAAAAAGGGTTCACGTTGTTCCTGTAAGAACTATCGGGGGATAAGTATACTTCCGATTGCGTCCAAGCTATTGGCTTCCGTCATACTTCGTAGGTTGTTCAGAACCCGAGAAAGATTGACTCGCGAGGAGCAGGCTGGGTTTCGTTCTGGTCGAGGATGTATTGATCATATCTTCACCCTCCGCCAAGTGTTAGAACACCGCCATACTTATCAAAGGCCAACAATCGTAGTGTTTCTTGATATCAGGGCTGCCTTCGATTCGTTGGACAGAACTGTTCTCTGGGATTGTCTATTGAAGAAGGGTGTGCCTGAGAAGTTTATTAACATCCTAAAAGCCCTATACACAAACACCTCAGGCAGAGTGAGGGCATACAACCACCTTTCTCCGTTATTCCATTCAAGCAGTGGGGTTAGGCAGGGTTGCCCAATCTCACCATTCCTCTTCAACTTTGCCATCGATGACATTCTGGAAACAGCTCTGACGGATGTAAGTAATGGTGGTGTGGATCTGTTGCCTGGAGAAGGACTTCTCGACCTTGAGTATGCGGATGATATTGTCTTACTGTGCGAGAATACCCAAGCCATGCAATCCGCACTTAATCAGTTGGCAATCAGTGTCCGTAGGTATGGTATGTGCTTTGCACCTTCGAAGTGCAAAGTTCTTCTACAAGACTGTCAGGATTCTAATCCTGTACTCACTCTGGATGGTGAGCAGATTGAAGTAGTCGAGAAGTTCGTGTATCTGGGTAGTTGCATAAGTGCTGGTGGTGGCGTGAGTGATGAGATCAATGCACGTATAGTGAAAGCCAGAGCGGCTTATGCCAATCTGGGCCATCTTTGGCGCCTTCGTGATGTTAGTCTGGCTGTAAAAGGACGGATCTACAACGCGACGGTGAGAGCAGTTTTGCTCTATGCTTGTGAAACCTGGCCTCTCCGAGTTGAGGATGTTAGACGACTCTCTGTGTTCGTTCATCGCTGTCTCCGAAGGATTGCTGGCATGCAGTGGCAACACCATGTCAGTAATGCAGAGGTTCGGCATCGTGTGTTCGGTCACAGAGACGATAATTCCATTGGTGTCACAATCTTGAAACACCGACTTCGGTGGCTTGGACATGTTCTACGAATGTCGTCCCAGAGAATTCCTCATCGTGCATTATTTGCCGACTCTGGGACTGGTTGGAAGAAGCGGAGAGGTGGTCAGTATATGACATGGTGTCGTGGTATGATAGAAAGCTGCAAAGGGCTAGCTTCTGTTGGTCCATCACGACTCCCTGGTTGGGGTCCGAAAGACGGTGTAACGCAGTGGCTAGAGACGTTATCAGATATGGCTCAGAATAGAAGCCAGTGGCGATCGTGCTGTAACCTTCTTTTACTTTCTTCATAAAAAGTGTTTGTATCTTCCTTAACTGAAAGATCTCTTCTGATTGTACCTTTCCGTTTCCCCAACCATTGTTCTCTCTCTCCCTTTTTTTATAATTCCCCACGTTCATTATTTTTTTTCTCTTTTCTCGTTCTCTTCAAATTATCATTGTTTTGTGTGGCGCATATATATTTGGTGCCCCCCTGTACCAATATTTATGTGTTAAAATAAATAAATAATAAATAAATTCAATATATCAGTTTAGATTAACGTAATCAATAGAGTTGAAACAGGCAACGAATATAAATAACGCTAGACAACTTTACAGTCTAATTTAGGGAATAAGTATTACAAAGCCAAGTGTTACTGGGACTATCTCGGAAAAGGATGAAGCTTTTTCAACCTGGTGGATTAGTTAGCAGTGGAAAACAGTTCAACTGATCTCCGACCAACTTTCAATTACTCTGTATCTCCAAGTAGCCTCAATGGCAAGTCGACACAGGTTCCCTAAATCCTAGTGAGGTTAAAAAGGCTAAAGATATTTTAAGTTGAGAGAGAGCAGCGGACCCTGATGGGAAAAGCCCAGAGATCTCTAGGGATTGTGGTCCAGTTAAATACGATGTCATCTTGTCTGTAAACTTGACGTAATCTCATCTGACCATTTTCGATATCTTATTGTTCAAGTCTATAAAGAGGCACACAAATTTGTGATAACCACTGAGGAATTAGATTGACTAATGTAGTGTCTAAAATATTAACCTCAATAATCTTTTCGTGCTTATCTAGGGACCAGATAGAGCAAACCACGGAAAATAGTCTAGTTTCAGACTTAGACCAATATGTGTAGGCGAAACATTCCGTCTTCATCAGGTTTTGGAAGACGGATATATTTGCCGACGACCGACTTTATCATATTCCTTGTTGGTGTTAGTTTGGATTGCCGATTATCTTCATTTCTAATTGGTTTGTCACAGGTGATAGTTATTAAAGTAGTCCAGAGGGTTGACCATTTCACGTAACGTGAAAGTCTTCTGAGTTGGTGCCTGGAGA